AAACTTCTAACAAACCTGAGGATGAAATGGGTTGATATTGTTTAACTCTGTGCTGTGACTTCCTAAGTCTGTAAGAAAAATGCCAAATTAACATGCTCTTAGCTTATTAAATTTATCCTGCTTTTTTTCTGGGAAAGATGTCACATTGGAAGGGCCTGAGTGATGGGGGAAAAGACTTTATTCTACGTGTAATAAAACTGGATTCCATAAAATGAACCAAAAGGAGGATTTAGCTTTATGAGTTAAGGTTGTCTACTTTTGAGCTCTGTGACAAAACACTCTCACCTTGTTTTCTGTAGGCTCCTTATGTGGATGTAATTTGCGTAAATAGCTACTTCTCCTGGTACCATGACCCAGGCCACCTGGAAGTTATTACACTACAACTCACAACACAGTTTGAGAACTGGTACAAAACCTACAAAAAACCCATTATCCAGAGTGAATATGGAGCAGACTCAGTTCCTGGACTTCACAGTGTAAGTGTTATAGATGCCCCAGATGGAAAAAAGCACTACTTTTCTTACAGGGTCAGAAAAGCTTAACTAGAAGAGATGGGTACCACTGAGCCTGACTACTTAGTTTTGAGATGCATTAGCTTGTAAGTGTCCGAAAGACTCCAGGATTGTAATCCTGTTCCACTGAAATCAATGACCTTTGCCACTGGCTAACGAAGGTTAGATTCTACCTAAAGAGAATTTTTTAGCTTTGAGTAAAAAGCACTGAGCACTTTGAAATCTGTACTTTGGCATTTATAGAAAATGCTTAATCGGAAGATACGACACGGGAGACTGGACTTCCATTTCATGATCCTATCCTGCACAGAAGGGGGTGGCACTCCTGTGTCTATCGTGATAAAGCACCATTACCAAGCAAAACCACGGACTCCCCCCCAAGTATACCTGGCATTATGTTTGTATTTTACATGCGAAGTTTCCCCTTGCAATTTTAGTAGTTGCTAATCTTCCTTAAATAACCATTGTTAATGCAGTGGCATTGAAAAGACCAAGCAATTGTAGAGTTTGTCTTCAGGAAGCAGGTCCCCAGTAAATAGGAAGTTAACATATGGAACCTTTACTGAGATCAACTGTCACCTTCATTCAAGGCCACCTTTTTCCTGGCTGTAGGATCCACCTCTTATGTTCAGCGAGGAGTATCAGAAAGCTATGCTAGAAAAGTACCATTCCGTTTTTGACAAAAAGAGGAAAGAGTATGTGATTGGGGAGCTCATATGGAATTTTGCTGATTTCATGACTAATCAAGGTAAGCTTGTATTTACATTCTAAACAACTCCCCATCCTCCCTGCAAGTTTAAAATGGTTTATGATACATGAAGAATATTGTGCTGTAGGGTAGGACAAAAGGGCCCTCTGCTTACCAAGATAGAGCATAGCTGGTTTCTGTGACAAAGTCCAGTGTGACCAGAGCCAAGAGGGAAGGCCCTGCCTGTACTTAATGTATCCTCTCTCTCCAGCTTGAGTTCCTAGATGTCTCACCTGCAAAGATGCTACCCAGAATAGGAGACTATGCACTAGGGCAGAAGGCAAGGGAGGCTTGCGAGCAGACCCAGATTACTTTATTTCTTGGCCATCCTCAATTCAGAGCTTCAGTCAGCTGTTAGGGATGTGTGTCTCACTTGCTTCGTATTTCATCTACAACTGCCCTTAGTAACCAAGCACCTTAAATAACGTATTATTAACTTGGTATAGAGGTTTAGCAGTAAAGGACCAGATGCCACACTAGTAGACAACTGTCTATCATGACACTCCATCCACTATTAGTAAATAAGTGCATTTGCAAAGTATGGGGCATTACTTAATCTACAGTGCAGACAGTCACACAGAAATTAAACTATTACAACTCAGAAGGAGACCCAGTAAGGAACCAGTTATGCGTATGCCACCTGCAGTGGAGTTAGGGTGGTGAACAGTCAGTGTTAATTTCAGGCAGAGAAACACAATTAGGAATAATCTGTAGAGCACCAATATAGGTATTAGAAAGCTAAGTCATCGCAGAGAAGCAGTCAGAAAAGTAATATTAGTTTCACATAGGAGGATGGAGAAAATGTAAACAAATTCACATACACATATGCAGTTCCAGTCTCTCTACATGTTGCAATCATCTTTTCTAGTTTCCTATGAAAACTAAAATAGGCAGAAAGGATATGGACACTGCTAAAGGACAGTACAGTCAAACAGTTAGTAATCAACATTTTCACCATCAAATTTCAAGGTGGAACTAAAGGCAGAAGGAACATCTGCTGTAAATAAATACTGATCAAGTTAATGGGCACACTTGAATTAACTGTCATCGACTTATCAGTTGTAAATACAATGAATTGCAGCTATATTGTTCAGTTACATCAATTAATCTTGCCAAGATGACGCAGATTACATCTGCCAAGTTCCCCTTTGTACCTGACTGTGTGTAGAAGAAAGTGCATAGGTCTCTTCCACCTAACCTGATTTAGTACATACATAACAACAGTTCACAGTAGGGGATATAAGAGCATTTTATATACACTTCCTTTATTTTATAACTTCTCTACAGGGACCACACGTGTTTTGGGGAACAAGAAAGGAATCTTTACCCGCCAACGACAGCCCAAATCAGCTGCATTTGTTCTTAGAGAAAGATACTGGAAGATTGCAAATGAATCAAGCTGTCTTCCTCCTATAATAAAATCATATACCCTCTTTCTAAAGTGAAATCAAAAGGTATAGTGGCTAGGTATATGCTGAACTTGTTCATTAAATTTCTGTTTAAATAATATTTATGCCTGACTCAAGTTTTGCAAGTCTAATGCAATTTCTACTGAAGTAGTTACTATGATACAAAGCAGATCAGAAACACTGGTTTTCTGTGCTTAGCCATGTCTGTAGGCTTCCTGTTTCCAGGCAGTAAAATGAATATTCAGAGTTTCAAGGAGCTGAAGTTAGAGATCCTGACTGAGGTATCTGTTTATGGCAAAAAAATTAAAATATTACATGATACAAATCAATGCTGAATACTTTAAAAAAATCCAAGTTACTCTAAATGAACACCACATCCCTCCAATGCAAATGAGGTTTTCCAGTTATACTCCCCTAACAGTTACACTACTCAGATCACAGCAAATTGTCCACAGGATTACTGAAGAGCACAATTTATACAGCTTCTCCTGCTGGACAGAATGTATGCGGCTGGCTGAGAAATTCTGAGAGTTCACAGCATTCAGGAAGTATATGAACCACCACTTCTGTGAGGATACCCAACATACTCCAATACAGCATGGAATTCATACTACAGCAGCAAGGTGGAATATGTTAGATAGGTAGGTACTACATTAACTGAACTTTGTTTAAAACTATTTATTTTAGTCACAGTACCAGAACTGCCGCTATTAGATGCGGTTTTACCTTCCAGCATGGAAGAGTTTCCTTCATATTAAATTGTCACTATGTACTACAGTAATAATAGTCTAGAGGGTAAATTTGATTGAAACCTTTTTGATACTGGCCTGAAGCATTCTGGAGTAGGGCAATGTGTAAATTTATGTGCACACGCTACTTTAGACAGTAATGTAGTGTAGTAACGTCCCTTTCAGGTCGCACACCAGTCTTGGAGGACTCTAAAGGCCAGGCTTTAGACTGTAATAGATTGTGCCGATACTCACAGAAGAGCTCAGAACGCTTAGTCTGCAAACTTCTTATTGCAACATCCCAGGGCTGTCCTATGAGCAGCATCACCTGTAGCAGAACCGCCAAATTGGAGGCTGCCTGCTGAATTTTGCAAGTTGGCACAATTATGCAGTTTCATTATTCTGATTCACAGATACTGAGTGAAACTGTTGCTATGACTACTTTTTCTGCAACTGGCTCTTTTGCTAGTACCTCAAGAAAAAACATCTGCCAATATAAAGAAAATATTTGCTCTTATGTTGTGTGGTCGCCAAATTCTCTTTCCTTTAGATGCGATACATTAGAAACCAACACCACCTTCCACACTGCTACATGCAGAATAAGGACATAAATGTCTACTGCAGAATTCAAAACAATTTTTCTTGAGTTTAAGGGAAAAGAAGAAACATACTACCAATGTTCCTTATGGTTATACCATGTTAGGTTTACAGATTTTCTATATAACTAAAAACACAGAATATAAAAGTTTACCCATCGTAAAAAGACACTTGCTCAAATGTACCATGGTATAAGAGTGAATACCATATTTAAGCCCACTACCAGTGTCTGAGAGTCATTTCAACTTCTCGATCTCTAGACATAATTTTTTTTAAACCATTTTCTTCCCCATTTCAACAGACACGACATACCAACAACTGCCACATCAAAATACAGATAAAGATTTGACGTCGTTAACACATTACAAACTAGGGCTCAGATCCCTATGGTAACAGACGGGGCTTGCGGCTACAGAAGAGAGAGCTATTACTTTCATTCAGTCCAAGAAAAAAGATGCAGAGTTTAATATCCACACGTATGGTAAGCACACATTTCAGAGTCTTAGTTCCAGCTTGTTCTTAACAGCTCAGTGCAATTGTAAACCCAACCCGCCTATCCAACCCTTCCCCAAGAGCTCCCTCCCTCCCCCCAAATCCAGGAAAACGTACAGCAGTTTCCAGATAACTTTGTGATCTTCTCAGAGTGGAGTTAAAGCAGACCTACAGAACAAGGAGAGCAGGAAGTGATAAAAATAACATACTTAACGGGAGTATTTGCATGTTGCTTAAAGAACTGTAAACAGTGAAAGCCTCAAGTCAATGCTGCTCAACCTTTACACACCCATGTGCACGCAACATTCAGCAAGACACAATGAAGCTGCAGAAATTCTATAAACCGGTATCTCTGGGGACCGAAGTGCTTTAACCCTTCTACTGCTAACACACAATCTCTTTGAAAAAAATCACAACTTAGTACATTTCTAGAAACAGAATTACAGTACTGACTTTAAAAACAGTTTCTAAGGCTCAGACTGAGTCCAAAAAGGCCTCTGATTGGGTTCATTCAAGCTCTTATGTTTGGACTGCATGAATGCAGCATAAGAATGATTGCAGCAAGACGTCCACAGGTAATTTCTACATTTATTTTTTATACCAAAAAGTTATGTGCAACAAATAGAATTCGTACATATTTACATTGGTTTACCTGTTAGCAAAATTGTATCCTAAATCTCCAATAGAGAATCTCTCAACCTATATTGATAAAAGGAACATCTGCCCAATGACTCCATTTAAATGGATGTTTAATTTGGAGTTTAAAGCACTAGTAATAAATAGTTGATGGAACATACTATACAGAACAAACACCTAATATTTAGGCCATGCTTAATACAGTTTATGGTAACAGAATACTTCATCTTTTCTGGACCAGTTTTGTCTAGATCACATTTAAACAACATTGGCAGAACCAAAGCTATTAGATCTCTCTGACTTTAGCCCATATAAATTAGGAGCATCAAGTGCAGCCTGAAGCACCTCACCAATCTTTTTGAGCAATCGAGAGACTCTGTACAGCAGAAGACAAATGCCTACTACAATATGCAGAAATCTCATAATGAGAGAATTATTGTCACTTTAGATAAAGGTGGTAGGGAATGTTTCATTGGCCTTAGCATTGCAAACACTTTACAATAAGAAACTTCAAGAATGTTCATTTCCTAAACGAGACTTGAATGCTTCGTTGGCCTTAAGAGTAGCAAGTACCTTACAGTAAGAGGATTTCAGGAATGTTTAGTTCCTAAGCAGGTTTTGGGATGAGGTTATTTTGCCTTTACAATCCGCTCCTCCCTGCAGAACTTCTGAGAGCAGCGGTGGGGGGTGGGGGGGGGAGCCCAAATTCAGAACCACTGTTTGTAAATTATGAATTTTTTCCCCTCCGTTCTCATGAGTGTTGAAACCACAACCAAAAAGGCCTCTGATTGGGTTCATTCAAGCTCTTATGTTTGGACTGCATGAATGCAGCATAAGAATGATTGCAGCAAGACGTCCACAGGTAATTTCACCAGACCAGGTATTATTTACTAGCTTTTACCCATACTCTACTCTTGTATCCTCAAGATTTCTCAGAATTTGCCTTCGGATTTCTAAGGCTCAAATTAATAGCAAGCACACATTTGCCACGATACTTGTTTTGGTTGGGGGCAGTTGCATGAAGCACTCGTCAAATTTCCATCACATTACTAATTGTAACCTGAGCCATTTTACTGGAAGAAATACGCTGTTTCTATCATTGGGAGCAATGAGGAAAGAGTCAAAGAACTGGAAGCAAAAAGGTCCAAATTTCTACTGCTAATATTATTTTGCCCTTTATTCAGGCCAACTGCATTTCTGAAGCACAAGAGAGAAAGTAGAAGAGTTACGGCCATTTCTAGCAAATCACTTCCAGTAAAAAGTAACTGCAAGAAAAGCATACAAGACAAGAGAGTTCACAATTAAGGATCAGATTTGCAAGTTCGTGCACAAAGTGTAGCTGCAAATTCTTCCAGAGACCAAACTCAATTTCCATTTGATCCCAATGGGCACACAAACAAGGACTGCAGACACGACTGCTGAAAATCTGGCCCTAAACAATTTTACTAAACAAACTGAATTAACAGACTATGCCCACACAGACAAGCACAAGACACAGTGAAGTTAGTCAACACCTATACTTTCAGCTGATGGGGCTTTTTCCTTTTTACGGTGTGTACTACACCCAGAAATTGGACCAAGTAATCACTGATTAGACTTGTCTCCATTGCTGCTTGTTCTGAGATATTAGCACTGCGACTAACCATTTCAGGCAGCACGTGTTCACCTCTTCCTTGGATGAAAAAGATGCACTCCTGTGATCTACACTAAGGCATCAAAATAAATCTATACAACATATTAAACAGTAATACTGCCTCAAGGCTTGTAAAAGAACAAAATAAAACCTTGAGGGACCAGTTTAACATCATTCACTCCCCTCATATCAAAGTTCAAGGCATTTGAGAGACAGAACTAAACATCAAGACAAGCTTTAACTATACTCTGGTCAATACCAAACTCATTTAATGAATTGTTGTCTAAAACTGTTAGACAAGAGGGACAAGTAATTTAGTGTTACATGCAACAGATGTTACTTATACCACAGAACTCTATACATAAAAGCAGTTTCCACCTACATCCTCGATACAAACCAGAAGATTACTTCAGTAGTAATTTAAATACTATTTTGTGAATTCAATCTAAAAATTCTATTTTCTCTACGGAACACTGTATGTTTCACAGTCAAGTTTATCCTCAGCAACTTAGTGTTTATAATCCACTTAGCCATACAACATAAGTGTCTCTCTGACATTCAAGTTTAAGAAAAAAATCCTAAAATTAGTTAAACTAATTCTTTAAATAAATGGGTATGCAGTTGGAATTCTTCATATTTAGAAGCTGACAAGGGCAAAAAGCAGCACAGCACCAATTACAGAAAGTAGCTGAACCTATATATCTTGGTGTCACAGAGTTTGAAACACCAGTATTTTACTTTTCCGAATAACATCATCAACGTTCTATCGGATTGATTTAAGTTAACTGAAACAATATTGCTACCACTTCTCAGTCTAAAAACTAAAATAGATCTCTTAATACTCTTAAATCCCCAGCAAGTTTGCTGGGAATTTTGTTTGTTTGTTCATTTTTAAAGCAAGGACACTTCTGCCTGCCAAGTTCAACACAAAGTATTTGGTTTAAGATTTTAAGACAGAAGGCACTTTTAACATTCAGCCTTAGAGTACTGAGTGCAGAAACAACATTTACAAATTTGTTCCTTTGTTTAAATCTGTGGTTTAATTTTTTTTTCAATTAGTTATTAGAAAGAGCAATGATAGCACTACATCACATTTCATTTTCAGGAGCATATTTACTTACTTATCCCGCTAAACAGGTTGCCCTTCCAAGGGATCTTATGCATGTCAGGCCTAAAGTTCACTTCCCAATATAGCACAAACCAAAGATCCTGACGAAGATCAATTAAGTAACTGCTTCTTCAGTGCACTACTTGGTTATCCCACTCAGTCAGTGGTTTCCACTGCAAATTGCAATTCTATACTGCAGCATTCATATAACATCAAACATTAGTAACACTGGCTGTCTGACCGCAGTTTAAAAATGAAACAGCTCTGCATGGAAATTAAGTCCTTTCAAAGAACATTCTTTGATACACCAACCCCCAATCTGCATATAATATCCTAGTGGCAGCTTTCGATTGACCACATTGAACTATTTTCATTCTTTACAGAAATTAATGAAGATGTGGTTTAATGAACATACTTCAGGTTTCAGCTTTAATTCCATTTTTGTTACTGGAGACAAAAAAAAAACCCAACCATGGAACAAAACCCAACCATCATTCTTGTGAAAGCACTAGCAGTGAGTGCAGCAACACGGTGTTCTCTATAGAGGTCACTTCTTCCATCATGTCAGTCGACTATTAGCTGAACACTCTGACAGCTCCTAGGCTAACAAAACTGATTGTACAGCGAGTTCTCCAGGGATGAAACCAATATTTCTAGTTTTATTTACAGTATAAGTCCTAGTCAAACCTAAGTCCATCAGCTAAAAAAAAAGTAATACACATACTGTAAACATGGCAACATTAAATATGGTAATGCTAGTCTAGAATATTTAATGTCATCACATCTTGTTATACCTGAATTTATATACAGGATATTTTATACCAAGTGTTACCCACTTCACAAGTGGAGGGGGAAGAGAGAGTCTAGGTTTTGCTGTGGCTAAAACTCCTTCAAAGTAAAGTTAAAGCTTGTCTTGGATTGTATTAGAGCTTTCATAACCACATTTAAATTGAAGATTAGCACAAAAAAAATTATATAGGGCCCCTTCAAATTTATAATTAAAAATTCAGTTATGATTCTCAGGGAAAGTGTCTGATATGGAGAATAAAAAATTACTGCAAAATAAACTTAATGGAAGTTGGGTCTTCAGACTGTCAGTCAAAAGTTCAAACAGGTGTTATTCCTGTTTGGGTTGGAGTTGCCGTTTCCAGGCCTCGTTCAAATAAACTAGTCGTTTGTAGTTGATGATAAAGAGAATGAAGTTCAGCAAATATGTGATGACGCAGACAATGCAAAATTCCTTCAGCACGAAGTACAGAATGTATGCCAAGTACAATGACCCTACTACAGACACTATGGAGGATGTCATGAGGATTAGAGCTGCTACTGCACTTGCTGTCATACCTGCAACAAGAGAGAGAAAGTTACTACTGCTGCTCTCATTCCCCCCTTCCACACAAAGCAAAAAGCCTAAGCACTCTAATTCAAACTGAAGGCTACTCAGCAAGTTTGTATTACACAAAAGTCTGTTTAAAATACCATGAGTTCAAGATGGCTGACAAATCGCTATTTGGAGGGGAGCTTCTAGGTTCTGTACGACAGTCCTTTGATAAGAAGTATGTGTAGTATTTACCATCTTCTGTATTCCTGAGTTATGGGAAAGTTACAGGTTGGTCAAGTTATGTCTATGAATATTAATAGCTTTATAGCAGACCATATAGTTACAAAGAAATATGCATACATTACACTTCATGCACTTTTTTTGCCTATCTCTTACTCCTGCAAAACTTATAAATTCCAGTTTTATTTCCTCTCTTTTCTATCATGCAATCCAATGCTAAATATATTTAAGTGAAAATACCAGTGCAGCAACTGCCTTGATGCTTATATTATTAATAGCATAGGAGGAGAAAATGCAATTGCTCTTGTTATCAGCTGGGTTTTTAAGCCCTTTGGACAGATGTATGATTAGACTGGTGCTAAAAAAAAAAAAAACAAACATCCCATGCATTTATCTGGTCTCTTGCAGATTGCTCAATGTATAAGGCACTCCTCTTTCATCACCACAAACCTGTTATATACTTTAGGCTCTAAACTGAATTAATACTTACCAAGTAGCATTTGTAGTATATAAAACACGAGCCCAAAAACACTGTTTGACTGATTCATTGCACTGTCCTTTCCAAAGATGGAACCCAACAGACCGAATCCTCGACCCCATCTGTAAAACAGTGAAACTAATTAACTTTTATTTGGGTACCTATTGCTTTACATCAGTATTTTCAATTCATCACTGTTGGGGAAAAAAAAGATACATATAGGACTGTAGTGGTCATGTCAGAATATATGATGTTCAGGGTTATCTTGGAAAACCAAGCAGCTTGCAACAGGGGGTGCATGAGGTATGATTTTATCCCACACATTGCTGATTGAAGTTATTTGACATGCCAGAAACTACCAAGTTAACACAGTTGCAGCTTCACCAAATACCATGTCTGCTTCCTACGGTTGTAGTTTAAAGCTCTTTTGTCAAATAAACACTTCTTTCCTCCAACGATAGCTTGGAGAGAACAACAGTTCTCTTCACCACAGTAAGTTGGACACATGCTTACTATACAGATGAGGGAAAATGGTACAACTTGGTAACTAGTTGTTACCAGCTCTGCCAGCACTTACCTCACTGGCATCAGAGCAAGCAAATCAGAACATATGTTTGTGTTTCAGCTGCTCCTGATCAGCCTAATACCTTAGGAGGAACCCAAATCTGCCAAGCAGACAAGCTGGGGATGGTACCATAACAAGAGTCACACACCTTATTTGTTAGAGCCCTTGCACAGTGTGACTTTTTGAACTAGCACCTTAACCACAAAGTACTTTCAACTTTTTAGCGATAAGGTAGAAAGCAGCACAAGCCCTACAAAACTGCTGCTGCAATAAGTGGGGTAAAAGATTAAATCAGCAAACGTATTTGTGCTAGAAACCATTAATTTGATGCCCTAAGGCAGACCACGCCATTATTTGTGACCATGCAAAGCGAGGACCATATTTATTAGCGTCACTTGAAAATATGAAGAGAAGTTAACACTACTTCAACATGCAACTGAATTCACTTACAAGAGAACGTTAGGATATCTGCCAGCATGTCTTTGGAGCATCAAGTCAAGCACTACATAAATGTAAGGCTAGGTTCACATTATCAGGTTAACTGACACATAACTATGTTAAAAAAGCACAATTCCTCACTGCTGTTGCAGCAGAAAACACTAGCGTGCTACATTCATACCAACAGAAATGCAGTTTCAGAATAGCTTGTTGTACTAGAGGCAATGGTTCTACTAAACCAAGACACAGCGTAGGTTTGCTCTCTGCACACTACAGAACGTTGCTGATATAATTCACCATACATCAAAGACCAGTGAAAGGCTACCGCATTACAAGCAGTTTCCTCACACGAGAAAGGTACCATGATAAGTACAATTTAATACCACCTCCAAAATACTTCATAATCTCACAGCCATTTGTGTAGTATTTTCAAAACATATACAAATTAATCATTTTAATTCAAACTTAGTAACTGTATGCAATGAACTATTATACCCAAGTCTTGTGCTCTTCTCCCCAAGAAACCAAGCACAGAATTAGGTACCAATTCCTAGAAAGCATATTTACTGCATAAACAGTAAAAAAAAACCACCATACTTTCAACTGGCTTGGTCTCAAATCTTGTAAATGACTGAAGTGAAACTTATGTGCAAATATAAAGCTTCAAGCCACCATAGAAAAGACCGACGCTTGCTTTACCATGGGAACAATGCCTTGCATCCCAGAGCTGTGAGGGGTTAGAAAAACACAAAGTTAACTGCTTGTGGGAGCAGCGCAATACTGCCTCGCTCCCTGCAGTTATCCCAGTGCAAGTTTGGGGCTATGCAAACCATGGGGGACAAGACTGGTTACACATCCTCCCTGCAGCATACGAAGGCCAACAGTCCAAATTAGCGTATGGTGTAGTTTGTGGGAGAAGCAGTATCAAGGATGGATGGCAAAGATCTGGAAAAGCAGCTGTAGAGATGCGAGTGCAGCACTTCACAGCTAAGGGAGCCATGCTTCCAAGAGGGAGGGATTTTAAAAAAAGACCAAACACCATGCAACAATACATAAGCAAACATTATAAATAAATACTTCAAGTTCCAAAGAATCTCAGCTATGACGAGACTTTCCTCCCACACACTGAATGTTATCTGGATTTTAAGTGAGAACTGTTTATTTTTCAGCCTTACTTTGATAAGATGGTCACAGCACATGTTAACAATTGTCTCATGTTGTCCAGCTACCAAACGCAGTATTAAAGAGCCAGACAAATATATTAAAGGTATCATCATTTTGCATTTAATAGTCTGTTTTTATTTTTCTGTATTACCACATTTATAGATGCTTCAGCTTACTATCCACAGGTGCAATTTACTGTTCTAGTCTCCAAGTGAGAATTCTTTATAGGGTGACATTAAACTCTATTTGAACACACTCAGACTTTCCTTACCGAGAGACTAAACAGCATAACTCAAAGTGTGCCTAAGTCTGTGGTTCAACATTAGCCTAGCTCAAAGTAACTGCAGGATGCTGAATTCCTACCCTCTCCCTGCCCTAGCTGTATGCTCTCTCTTCTTCTGATGCTCGTGAGATCCTGTCGTGTTTGAGAGTGAACTCAAGCTTAAAACATCAGAAACTTTAGACTATAGAATCTGACGCTACAATTATTCTGCAAGTGAATAAAATGTTGCTAATGGAAAGATAACGAGTTCAAGCCCTTCCTGACAGTCAGTGTCCCCAAGTGATCTGTTCATAGCTGCAAGAAGGTCAGAGCATGGTGAAAGCTTTTTCCACATGCAATAGTTCATTAAGTATCTTGTTGGCCTTGTAGCAGCTTTAAGGACATCAAGTATTAAATTTCAATCCATGGAATACAGCTCTCACTCACATCTTATTCCACACACTTCAAGACTGCTAAGAAGCCTGTGGTTTAAGACGAAGCACTTTTTCCAGCCTTATAAGATTTGAAGTGTGAGGAAGTTTTCTGCATCAAACTGAAAAGCAAAATATTTAGACTTCATATATTTCTACTTCCATCTAATTTCTCTACTGAAGAGGCTAAATCATCTCCTAGTTCTAGCAAGGAGGTCCCAAAACCCACTAAAATGCACAATGAGCCAAGTACTTTCGCAAGCAAAAGGAGGAAGGAGGAAGACTGAGTATGATAATCTTCCTTCTCACACCAAAATCACACCTGAGTTATGATAACCTTAAAAGTCTAAAAACATATGGCAAACAAATAGCAAGAAGAAAGATTGCAATCCTAACAATAGAATAAACTCCAAGAAATAAAACATCAGTAAAAAGGACTATAAACTGCTCAGAAGTTCTTCACAGAACTTGCCTTTCTTTATAAAGAATATAATTTACAAGAAGTATTGTTAACTCGGATCAATTTTTTGGATACAGAATGCTAAGTAAAATGAGCTGCACTAATTAAAGAGTTGCTTGCACAGCAAGATAAAAGCATAGTCCAGCATCACCAGCTTTTTCCTGGTACTGACTTGTGGCCCCCCATCCCTGAAGCAGTCAAGTGTTCTGTTGTGAAAATCACGCTGAAGTCACCCTGCATGATTCAGAGCACTATGACAAATGTGTGGCAAGCCTACTTTGCCACACCCGAGTTTCACTCCTATTAAAAGAAAAAAAAAAGAAAAAACCCAATCTGAACCAATTTCAAGGAAGTTTTAAAATAAATCTTTAAGACATCTTCCTGTATGTTTCAAGTAACTCAAATTCCCTCTCTGTTCAAGATGACAGCCTGCTTCACTTCTCATTTGCTGGTACAACTTTGAATCTTCTTTAAAAAGGTTTTCAGAATAGTGATTCAAGAAATCCAAGACAAAGTGTTTAGAACTGTTCATGTAGTTTCCCAACATCTAAAATTGAATACTAGAGTGACTTTTAGTCCAATGTGCATTCCCTTTTATCAAAAGGGGGTCTTGAAAATTATTATCCATCCTCTAAACAGTGCCCCTTTTGGTTTGGATATTTAACAAAGCTCAGAAGTGTTGCATTTTTAGAAGTTTAAAGCAGTATTTGCACTTCTTAACAGGAAGACAAGAATAACAGGTCATTTTGATCCACAAGTGACATATCTCCAATAAAATCTTATACTGTTAAATCATTACCTCTTTTGCACAATTATGAACATCCTCTATGTTCCAGGACAGTGTATTATGGGAGTACACTTTAACTCTAAACATTTTAACGTAATTTACAAGACGATATACCACTGGCAGAAAGGCAACCAAGAGAACCTCATGCATTACACTCAGTATCTCAGTCTTTTTAAAGGACAAGTAAACAACCTCCATGTTTAACAAGTTAAAAGCTGTAAGAGTTATCAGTATTAGCTCAAAAAGCAACAGAATTCCAAGCCTGCCAAACACAACAAGTCAAACAAACAAAAAGCATACATTTAGCCAGGAGTCAGATTATCAACTCATCCACTCTCTGTAAGAAATGCTACACTGTTTTTTCTAGCCAAGCACCCCAATTCTGACAGTTACCTGCAGGAGATGTTTTTAAGGGCTTTTACAAAAAGATTATTCCCCAAGATGCTCTCCTTGACCTTACCATCATTAAGTTAAGAATCAGCTTAAGAAACTTCTGAACTGGGGTTTCACCTGCATCAACATGCTCAGTAGCCTACCTTGAGGCCTTCCTCAATGTCCCTAGATGCTTTCTGAACACGTACTTCTGACCCCCACAACATCCCCCAGTAATGAATTCCAGAATCACATCACCTCATTTTCACTTGGCAATCCTTAGTTCTCATGTCAAGAAAAGAACTAATGTATATTCATTTTAACATGAAAATAACCATACTAGGTCAGGTCAAGCCCAGCTAGCTTCAGTACCATGTCTCTGACATCAGCGAGTAGCAGATGCCTTGAACAAAGCACACATATACTTCCCAGTTCACATTCTAGTCTCCTAAATGTCTAGTTGAAAATGCTATCAAATCCTTCAGGAGACCAGATTATTAAATGGCATGCATGATTCAAAAATCTGAGAACACTCTGCATTTGTGCAGCAGCAGGTTTTCCAACACATTTCTCTCTCTCAATTTTTAGGTTCGCCGCAATGAAAAGGGCAAACAACAGTAATAAAAAAATATTGTATTTTCAGAGAACTGTAAGTGAAGAGCTCAAGTTCTGTTTTCTGAGTAGTAGTAGCTTACTTAAAACCCCTCATTTCAGGATTATTTTTCATCCCATAAGCATTATTTTGTTATCAACAGCAAGCACCATTTACCACTTTGTAACCCTGAGGAAACAATACACATTTTCTAAAAAAAACCTACACTTGACAAGTGATAAGCACATTTCTTTAAGTGTCATCTGACTTCTGAGATAAGTTATGGTACAGAATGAAAGCTCTCAGAGGGGAGTAAAGCTGGCCTATGCTCACACATGGCTTTCAGCAAAAAGCTCATAGAGAGGTCAAAGGATCTGGAGCGTGTTAATACTTAGCAATGTTAAACTTTGGTTGTAGCTTCTTTACAGCTTCACTAGAGGATTTTGGATTAAACCTAGTTCATGGTTACAAGGTCGCTCAGGCCACTCTAACAGTTTTAATAAATTAAGTAAAAGCC